CTATTTTGTTCTTCATAATGTGCTTCGTTTAACTTCTTATCCTAGTAAAAAAAAATATTTTATTTGTTTTTATCTATTGCTGATAGTAACAGCTGTGATTCAAAAAATGTGAGTGTATGTGTACTTTGGCTTTCCCTTTACCCACATTTAGCAGCCACTCAATTATAAAATATGTAATTGGAGTTATCACATAAAACTTTCAATAATTGTGAAACATTTAAACGCATTTTTACTCGTATGCTCATGCCAATAAAAGACAATCAGGCTCTCTTACTGGTGTAAGGAAACCCATAAACTTTTCTATGTCTTTCTTTTTGGATGTTAATGTTTGACTTTTTCCCCCTGTTCTTCTTCTTTTCTGTCTTTGGAATCCCAATGTATTGTAGGTCATTACTACATAAAAACTCGGAACTATAAATAAATCTACAAGTTATTTTAAACGTTTTGCAAATTTGTCTTGAAGATCAACTAAATTCTTATCAAAAGTTCATTAATAATGTGTTGTAAGTGCTTAAGAGTGCTTCTCATTTTTTATACATAAAACAAAGATACATGTAAGTGTGTGTGTGTGTGTGTTAACATAAATGTAAGGGGGCTGAAAGATGGTTTAGAAATCTTAGTATTTTCTCTTCAATTGTTATAAATTACAATCAAGATGTTCACCCTTTTATTTACACATAAAACAGTAAAGGATATTTTTTATGCTATTCATGTATATAAAGTGTGAGAAAGAGAAAGAAGACTTGGATGGATTAATAAATATTGTGAGGAATTAATTTTCTCTATTACATTGTACATAGTTATCGAAAGTTAGTAAGCAAATCTTCAGAACAAAGGTGAATGAGCATATTAATAACACGGAGTAATTATGAAATATTTTATTTTCTACCAAATTAAACTATCAAGTTCACGATCAGATATTCTGCAGGGAAAAAAAAAATGTACAAAACTAACCATATCTCGATGATGTATATCAGCACCACATTCAACGAGTTCAGTCACAATATCCACATAGCCTTCCTTTGCAGCATTCAGCAAAGGAGTCCAATTATCCTGCAATAAAAATACATTCACATTTGTATCTAAAATTAGCAATCTCAGCTGTAAAATTAAATGATCATGCATAAAAAATGGGAGAACAAAATCTTAGAAAGCAGTTTAGATATGACACAATTATTTTTACAAAAAAATTTAAATCATAAAAAAATGTTCCTCTTAGATAACCATGTATAAGAAACTCAATTTGAAGTTTAGACTTAGAAGACTAACTACTGTTTCTGCCATAGTCAGCCTGATTGTTAGTTTGTTTTGAATTTCACGCAAAGCTACACGAAGGCTATCTGGGCCAGCCGTCCCTAATTTAGCAGTGCAAGACTAGAGGGAAGGCAGCTAGTCATCACCACCCACCACCAACTCTTGGGCTACTCTTTTACCAACGAATTGTGGGATTGACCGTCACATTATAATGCCCCCACGGCTGATAGGGCGAACATGTTCGGTGTGACGAGAATTCGAACACCAGCCCGATGAATCATATTATTGTGCATAAGACCTTGTTAGCAACGAATATGGCACATGTATTGTGGCTTATAAAAGCTTATTTGTTTTCATAGAAATACTCACGTAATGTTCGCATATTTCTCACTGACCACTGGTATTTCTAGGCTTCATACAGTCAGTTCATTCAGGTAATTTCCACCTATACATTCTACATGTAAAAATTCTCATGGCTTAGTGAGTGGAAACTTATTAATGGAAGTATAATGGAAACAGGAAGATTCAGCTTTCTTGGTTCTTGTATTTATTCTTTAGCTGTATAAATCTGAATGGTATATTTTATAATGTACTTTTCATATAGACTTACACTGTGTTAATTTGAACAGATTTTTTTTTTCTCCCACAAACTTACACCTTGTGAGAATTTTTTTTTTCTATTTAAGAAATGTCTAGAAAAAAATAGTACTTACATAGTCTTCTGCATTAATATCAGCTCCTTGTCTCAGTAGTTCTTGTATGACACACATCTGACCAGTTTGACAGGCAAGCATTAGCAATGTCTGGCCTATCTATAGGACAAGTTTAAATCATTCTTTAATAGTGTTGGGTTAAATATTATTTCAATGAAACAGCAATCATTAATTTCTTATTCTTCACTCCCCTGATAGTGCTCTTTGCCTGATATCAAATGAAGGACTGTTTCTTTGGAGTCCTTTCCTAAGTTACCTCCCCAGCCTTAAAGTTCTGGTTACATTACTACTGACATAACACTACAATATCCTGCTACTGATTGATATAACACTACATTATCCTACTTCTGGTTAACATAACACTACAGCATCTTGCTACTGATTTATATAACACTACATTATCCTGCTACTGATTGATATAACACTACATTATCCTACTTCTGGTTAACATAACACTACAGCATCTTGCTACTGATTGATATAACACTACATTATCCTGCTACTGATTGATATAACACTACATTATCCTACTACTGATTGATATAACACTACATTATCCTACTACTGATTGACATAACACTACAGCATCCTGCTACTGATTTATATAACACTACATTATCCTACTACTGATTGACATAACACTACAGCATCCTGCTACTGATTGATATAACACTACAGCATCCTGCTACTGATTGATATAACACTACAGCATCCTG